TGAATACATGTATTTCAGTCTATGTATTCCGTTTTCTACTGCATTACTTAGAAAAATTTTAATTTGGTTTACTCCAAAAAATGTGAGGACAACTGTTTTTTATTTAAAAAAAATGCATATTTCACGAGATTTATTTTTTGAGTACCGTTATTATAGCGAATCAATTTGTGACAATTATTTAAAATTAATTAGTAGCAAAACTTAAATTAAAAACTGTCCTATCATATGTTTCATTCTCGTCATATATTTTAGCTCAAATCATGAGATTACGCAAATTAAAGTATGAGAAAGTTTAAAAACTTTCGAAGATTAAGAGTAATTCAAAACTTATTGAACGAAGAGCCATCTTGCTTTTATTAGCGGTGATGTATCTTGAAGAGTTTAGCATTCGTCTGAGGTCTCACTGATTTCTGTTGCCACTCATGACTGGTAAATATCCTGTCTATAATGTTTAATTGAGTAAAACCAGGTGTCTTGTTTGAGAGAAACTGAGTTTGATAATTGTAAATTTCAGAGGCAGGTCACATAAACTATTATAAATCATTGTCGAGAAGTATCGACGTAAATTCACGATTTCGTTATAGTGTGGATAAATAAAATTATTGAACAGTAATCTGCCCTAATTAAGTTATATTGAACGGCAAATGAAAAAAAAAAAAAAAAAAAAAAAAAAAAAAGAATCAGAACGGGAATTATTCAACGATTTTCTGTAATTTTCGAACTGCAGTTTCTCTTCTGATTCTATACCGGTACTTGAGTGCTCACGTAGCAACATTAAATTTTAAATTTAACTCGCATGATGGAATGCGTGTGCATATTTAATGTAAGTTAATGGACCGATATATAAAAATGTATGTTCCGCGAAAACGTTACAAATATGTGATCATTTAACTTTAATGGTTCATCAGCGGTCAAGGATGAAAATCTTTTAGTTCGATAGGCCCACCAGCGGCCGAGCGGTAAAGTCGCTGAACACTGGTAGTTCGGTCCGAGGTTCGAATCCCGCGAACGGGCTGGCTGCATGGGTGTTTTCGTGGTTTTCCCCATGTGTAACGTGTATATAAGCCAGTTTCCCTTAGAAAGTCCTCCACGAAAGGCATCCCTCCTCTTAGGCAGATAGCCCTAGTGTGCTTTGCCATAATTAAACACACCAACACCATTAAACACACCTTTTAGTTCGAGCTGATTTCAAATCCTGGCAAACATATTTGGCTGCATGAGAGGTTTCGTGCTTTCCCTCGTATGTATCAAGCATAGGATCTACGTGTTTCTCAGGAAGCCCTCTACGAAGGCATTCTTTCCCTTAAGAAAATAACCTATCATCTAAGCAGAGAGGTGTCGGTCCGAAGTTTGAAACTCGCGAGCGGGTTGACTGCATAGGCCCTTTCGTGGTTTTCCCCATGTGTAACGTGTACACGAGTTAGTTACACTCAGGGTCCTCCACGAAATCATTCCTCCCTTTAGGCAGATAGCCCTCGAGTGCTTTGCCATAATCAAATAAACCAAGCCAAACCTCAGGCACAGTGCTCTCGTGTACTTTGTCGTAACCCAAACAATCCAATCTAGTTTTAGTAGTTTAATTAGTTAATGGCTTCATTTCCGGATAAAATATGCGCAATATTTTCATTGAATTTAATTAAAATTTATAGATTCAACATGATATTTATCAGATAAACGAAGAAGGCTTTTGAATAAAATATTGATTCGGTGCCTGAGAATCTTGCCACTTGAGGAGTGGTGGTGGTGTATTGAGAATATGGCAAAGCACACTAGGGTTATCTGCCTAAGGGGAGGGATGCCTTCGTGGAGAACTTTCTAAGGGAAAGTGGCTCCTACACACATTACACATGGGAAAAAGCACGAAAACGCTCATGCAGCCAGCCCGTTCGCGGGAATTGAACCTCTGCTAGTTGACAAATAAGTGACTAATTTTCTTCAAATGATATAATAATTGTGTCAAAGAATAAATGAGTATATTCTATTTAATGACATGCTTTCTATAAAATACCCCTATGCGTCTCAAAATTTTCTTGACTCTCAATGAAATTATTCAGCGTATTTTAAACAAAATATTATTATCAAACGTTTCTATGAATAAATGATGTTATATTTGTAAAAGTGTTCGCAAAGTGTGTATTTCTGTTCATAATTCTGCAGGACCTAATATTAGCATCTGTGCATATATTCTTCATGGTACTAATAAAACGGTTATTATAAATCGAAATATTCTCCTGTTGTAGAAATGCCATTGACTTTGAAACAAATTACGTATTACATGCAATTTCGAGAAGAACAACTAATTTCTGATCCTGCAGAACAATAAAAAATTCTTCGACTCATCTTCCTGAGGTTATCAACTCGAGAAATCCGTAACAAGAAAATTTTAGCTTAGATAGATAACCAGAAGGAAAATTGTTCCGATGATGACTGCTTCCCATCCTCCCTCCCTCACCTTCTCTCTGAACACATTCATTGGTAAAATTGGCCAAATAAAAAAAATTCTAAACAGACCCTTCAATTCATTGTTGGCGTCCCTCCAAGCGATCTGTTTATCCAATATAGATTGAATCATCGATATGAGAAGTCCAAAAGGTTAAAAAAAAGTAATAATAATAACAGATACGCTCCTACAGAACAAATTGTGCAACGAGCAGGCATTAATTAAAGCATTAAGCTCACTCTTAAGTTTAAACTTTTTTTTTCTTTTTTAATTTCTTACAGATATGATTTTCCTCTTTTGAAAGCACTTGACATATTTAGCTTGAGGGTGAGTATATCAAAGGGACATAACCACACCCTGGGGATAATATTGAGATTATTTTTATTTATTTTAATTTACAATAACCAGCCCACCTAATCCTGGGAGATTTGCCAAAGTTTTTTCTTTTCAAAAAATAGTAGCTCTTGGCGACAGGGGCGGCGTTTTTGATGCGATGATCGCCAATTACGAAACGTGGTTTGAGCTTCCTTTGTGTTGTGCACGTTTACGTTTGTATGCTAAGATTGATGGTGGTTTGAAGACTTTTTATGCAGTAAACAAGTACAAGAATGTAATAAAAGTCTCAAAAGGATTAGGGTTTTATTGAGCGAAGGGATGTCTTGGATCATTTTCATAAAAAAATTTTGATATATTTCCCACGGTCTAGGAGTAGTCTTTTCTTGGTCTAGGAGTAGTCTTTAGTAGGAATCTTTTTGCCTACTTACCTATGCGCAGATATCTGTATAGTTTTTCACAGATTTGTAGACAACAACTATCTGTATGGACACTAAGTTTATTTTAATGGTATCTGAAATGACTTATTCTATTTCCTGTCGATAGCTGTATATCATAATAAAATAACTCCACACACATTACACAGTTAAATACATTTATTTTCCATAGCGACACTCAGGGGCTAGATTCCACCTTACAGCGTAACATATGAATCGCAACTTCGAATGTACTACAAAATCAAGTTTCTCATAGAACACATTTCATTGCCAATTCCGGCGGCGCATGCGCCATTAGCCAAGATTCCGCTCTCGCGCCAAGCATTTTTCAGCTAATACAAAACACTCCCGGCGTTGAAATTAATAATTTCAAACTATTATTTAAATAAATGTAAATATAAAGGCACTGCAATAAATTACTTCACAATAACAAATCACAATATTGAAAAATATACATTCAAATTATTACAACAAATACCAGTTTATAATAGGAATAAACCATCATTCTACAGGAAGTATACATATATCTCGAACATTTCGTCTCAGCAAATGCTGATTAGGCAATCTTACAGCTACTACTCTTATTTTGTTATCCCTACCATGAAAAACCTCAGCTTTTCTCCCCACTAACCATTTGGTTGAAGGCAAATTTTCATCTTTTATTAATACAAGAGTTCCCAACTGAACGTCATCCTTTAAAAATTTCCACTTGTGACGTTCTTGTAAATTATTAAGATAATCACGTTTCCATAATTTCCAAATTTTTTGTGTATACTTAGTGATTCTTTGCCATTTAGAAAGTCTGTTTTCATTTATGTTGGATAAATCTGGCTCAGCTAGAGTTGTGATAGGTCTACCAACCAAAAAGTGACCTGGGGGTCAAAGTTTCAAAATTATTGTAATCAGCTGAAATTGGAGTAAGAGGTCTTGAGTTCAATACTCCTTCAATTTCAGTTAAAACAGTTAAAAATTCTTCTAAAGTTAAACACTGATTAACAATAACTCTCTTCAAATGACTTATAAGCCAAACTGTGATTTAACCCCGGCCTCCCAAATTCCGCCGAAATTTGGCGACTTTGGAGGAATAAATTTCCACTCTATACCTTCAGTGGTATAAAAACTCGCTAAATTCTCATCTGGACACTCAACCAATTTTTGCAATTTTTTTTAGTTCTACACTAGTACCAATAAAGGTTTTAGAATTATCACTCATTATTCCAGTACATTTTCCCCTTCTAGAGAAAAAAAACGTTTTAAGCTCGAAATAAAAGATTGGCTAGTTTGGTCTGTCACAAAGTCTAAGTGTATGGCTTTTGTACTCATACATACATATACTACGACATAAATTTTGTTCAAAACTCCCTTACGTTGATTCTTAAACTTTATTGCAAATGGGCCGCAGAAATCAACACCAGTTATGTTAAATGGGTATGATGGTGTGACACGCTCTTTGGGCAACTCGGCCATTATTTGTTGAACTGTGATGGGTTTGTTCTTAAAACATGTCACACATCTGTAGATGATCTTTCTACAATTATTTCTGCCATTGAGTGGCCAGAACCTTTGTCTTACCTGATGTAACAGTGATTGTGATCCTAAATGAAAGTACTTCAAATGAAAATGCTCTAAAATAATAGTAGTTAAACGATGTTTACTAGGTAAAACTATAGGGTGTTTACTATTAGCGGGTAGGTCCGAATAGGACAATCGTCCGCCCACTCTAATTAGCCCCATGTTATCAAGAAACACATTCAGTGATGCTAATTTACTTTTGAGGTTTACACACTTACCTCTTTTTAATTGATTTATTTCTTCTAGAAACTCACTTTTTTGGGCCTCTAATAAAATATACACCTCAGCATCCTTTATCTCTTCTAAAGTAAGTACTCCGTACCTCCTTACCTGAGGGTTCTTAAGATTATGGATAAACCTGAAAATGAAACTTACAATACGAATAAGTTTAGTATAATTAGAAGACAAATTAAGAATATCATTAAAGAGGTTTGGTTCATTACATGCAATTAAAACTAAGTTAGAATCGTTATGCAGTTCATTGTCCTTTTTAAGTTCATTTGGACACACTTCTTCAACTACCTCAATTGATAAGTCCTGATGAGGAATCTCTGAGCATGTTAGAAAGTCACAGCATGACCACCATTTGGAACAGTTCACAAGAAAGTCAATTTGAACACCACGCGTCATAACATCTGCTGGGTTCTCTTTTGTTGAACAATAGAACCACTCTGTCGGCTGTGTTAACTTCCTAATCTCGTTAACTCTGTTGGCGATGAAAGATTTCCATTTGGTACTGGTACCTTTAATCCAGCATAGCACTATTTTGGCATCAGTCCAATAAAATATTCTCGAGGATTTCTTTTGATCGAGCAATTTTTTCACTCCAGAACCTAAACGCGCTGCTAGTAATGCACCAAGTAATTCAAGACGAAGTAACGTAATTCTTTTCACGGGTGCAACACGACATTTTGATGCGAAGAAACTCACAGAAATTTCTTCTTGCTTACGCAGTTTTATGTATACAACAGTACCGTACACCCTCTGACTAGCATCTGAAAAGCAATGGATCTCTGTGGAATCGGCTTCGGGATTCAAAATGAATCTTGGAACTGCAATTTTACTTAGATGATGACACTCACAGCACCACTTTGCCCACTCTTGACAGATATCTGTAGGTAGTTCATCATCCCATGTCAATTTTCGAACCCAAAGTTCTTGTAGCAAGAATTTAAGTCTAACAGTAAATGGAGTTATTAACCCAAAGGGATCAAAAATCTTCCCGGCAGTTTTCAAGATGAACCGTTTCGTATTACGCTTATTCTTAAGGAATTCCATCAAACTGTCTGTGTCTATACTCAGACTGTCTTCATTAGTATCCCAAGATATTCCCAAGATCTTAAGTGTCTCGTTTGAGTCATTGATTTTATGTGGATGGATCTCGAAATCTTCTTTTTCCCATTTTCTCATCAGCTCAGGATCATTGGATACCCATTTACGCAAGTTCATATTTGCTGCACTCATAATTTGTTTAGCTTTACGCGATAAGCTTAGAGCCTCATCTATACTGTCCTGTCCAGTAATAAAATCATCAACATAAACACAAGAATTCAATATTTCAAATACATCTGGCTGCTCATCTCGATATTTTCTAATGTGTTCTTTAATTGTTGCAGCCAACAAAAACGGACTTGACTTAATCCCAAAATTTACGCGCTTGAATCTATATGTCGCTAGTTTTAGATCATTTAATTGTGTGTTTTCCACAAACAGGAATCGCACTGCGTCTTGATCCTTTTCTGCCAAAGCAATCTGCAAAAATGCTTTTTCTACATCCGCTGAAATTGCAACTTTATTTAATCGGAAATTAATTAGCAGATGGAACATATTAGGATTTAAATTTGTCCCTGTCCATAGACAATCGTTCAGTGATAGCTGCCCGAACTCATGTGAGCTGCCATCAAACACTATTCTAGTCTTCGTTGAAGCACTGGTTTCTCTAAATAC